CCGCAATGCCCGTAGCCACCGCAAGTAACAACACTGCACAGGAGCGAAGGTCAGTGGCGGCAGTACCATCCGTGTGCTCCTCAGGCGATGGCACGTTAGCGCTCACTTTTTTCTCTCCACCCCCGTTGATCCTTTTCTTTCCCACTTCGTCTTCGGCTCAGTTCCTTCGGGGCGGAGCAGCTCGGGGCGCCTGCGTTCACGAAGTCCTTGCCGACGTCGGGACTCACGGTGCAGTGCATGTGAGGGGTAATCGTCCCCAGTGCCCACAACTCGTCATCGTCGCTGGGGTGGCGCGTGACACCACTCCTGCCGGCGGGAGTGATGGTGCACACCTCGTCGTACTTGGGGCACCTGATCTTGCCGCTTGCAAAGTTAACGGAAGTGCCCACACCTGAGAGAGAGCTGCCCTCAGGGCAGTCGTACCAGTCACTGTCGCCGATGTAACGGACCCTGAACGAACCCCTGGCACACGCCACCTCCGCGCAGACGGCGGCCACAGCACAACCACCCTGGGCTCCGGGCCATACGTCTCCACGTTCACCTTGAGCGACTCCCCGTCGAGACACCATGAGCCTGCGCCCAGGCGGCCCCCGTGCAGGGCTGTGTTTTCCTCATTGCGGCATGAGCCAAAATGTGACGACCAAATGAAAAGGCACTCGTCGTTCCACGAAAAACTGCATTGGCCCAAGCCAACGCGGTCGCCTGTGCAGTACGACATGGTGTCACTGTAGTTATTCTAAAAGAACATTGCGGGAAACTTGGTGTGGTCGTCCGGCCCGCACTGCTTTTCATTGACAAACTCGCATCCGACGTTTTTGCTCCAGCGCATCGTCTCCGCCATGCTGAAGTTCGCCTTGTAAAAGCCCATATCCTCAAACGCGGCCATCGTCAGCGCGGTGTAGAAGCCAGCACCAGTGGCAACCGTGGGGCCAATCAGTCCGTCCTTCGCGTGCCACCGAACCCAGTGTGAGTGCAGCCGTGATGCATCGTCGTATTCATCCCTCAGGGGCATGCGCTCAAGGCTGCTGCAGTTGAAGTGCTCCTGCGACTTCTCCTTTGTAAGCGTGGAGAGCACCGTCCCCAACTTTGCCGCATAGCCCCCCAGTGGTGAGAGTGCGCACCACACTCTTCACCTCCATCTGTTGGTAGCCGAACCCAAGCACATGCGCGAGTTCGTGTGCAGCGACGCGGACAGCGAACCACAGGTGGAAAACGCCAGAAAGACAAAAATTCATGGCGCCGACGGTCGTTCTTATTGACCGTGACGTATGGAACGGCGAAGATTGCAGACGGCCCAGCAGCCAAATAGAGCAATGTGTCTGCGCCCTGAACCTCTTCTGTGTGGTGTTCCGCAGGCACAGTGAAATGTCTGCACTGCGTTTGACGGATGGATTCGAGCACAACCAACGGAGTCTTCACGCGCTGCACAAGGAGGCACTCTGAGTGCAACTTGATGGCAGATGAGAGGATAGTTTGGAGCAGCCCAGCCTTTTCCCGACTGGCGAGGACGTCGTCCTCCAGGCACTCGCCAGCGTAGCCCAGAAACGTTGGACGCTGCTCCCCTTCTTGAGTGCAGTACTTGTCTGTGTCATCCAGGTCCAGCTTGGACACCACGATGCGGACAGGCTCCTACTCCCCCGTCCCCTCCGCTCCTGTGGAGGCGGTGTGCGCTCGCCAGGCACTCTGGCCCTTTCGGGGGTAACTCCTGCACCATCTTGACTGGGCATGAGTCGCTCCTCGCCATTATCTCGTTGAACATGCATCAGTGCCTGGCAGCGATGAGGCGGCCCGTGGCGCAGCACATCAGCAGCAACAACAACAAGGGCACCGTAGCAAGTAGGGACGGGCGCATTGCTGTCACCCTTGTCTGCCGGGCCTTCCGAACAATAAATAAATAAATAATAGCTGCGTGTAAGCTCCAGCAAGAGGTCGAAGACTCTGTGTGGTGGAACGCGTCCGTCACAAGACGCGGCATGGCCAACGACGGTCGACAAAAACGCCCAACACGGACCAGGAAGCGGCGCACACATGGAGGCATATATATATGGCC